ATAATGTGCCACTATAATTATTCTTCACCATCATAAATTTTGTACCATTTTGCAGCCTTTGAGTATCATTTCTATTCCATTTTTCTCAAGGTAATAGAATAAGAACCAGCCAACAAAAAGAAGCGTTTGCATTTATGAAAATTGTGTATTATTATATTATAAACTGCAGCTGGTCCAAAAATCCCAGTGCGTCTTTGAAAACCCTTGATTTATTTTCCTTTACAAATCATCAAATATTTCTCAAAGTTATCCTGACACAAAATTTCTATTCGCCTAATTTGATTTTCACTCAAATGTCTCCTTAAAAATATCACATTTATTCCCTATTTAAATATCATTAGTTTAATGAATACCCTAGGTTTGCTGCAACAGGGAGGGTAAATTTTTTTTGTAAAATGTTATTAGTTTAGTATGAAAACAACAACAGTTTACTTATTCTCCATGTGGGAATTGAAAAATTACATTTTTTTCCTCCGTAACCATTAGGCGCATAATAACGCTTCAATATACTAAATTATTTGTTTTTTGAAGCTCTACAAAATGATGCTGAAATAAATTGCTAAATTTTATGTTTTTAGGGTCAAAAATGAGAAAAACCAATTTTTACCCCCATAAAACCCCGTTCGAATGGTCCTATCATGCAGGTTTGTGAACTCGTTCTAATAAATATAGGTTTACTACTTGTTTATACCAAATTTCATCATAATCGGATCATTTTTGCTCGAGTTAACATGCTAACGGACACATGTATATATATATATGAAATTTGAACGGTTGGTGTTTTTGGCCTCTAGGGACCTCAAAACGAAAAAGTAAATCGGTCCCGGGAGGTAATAGCTTATTCCCTATATGGGAAATTCACTAACAATCCATTAATAATCAATTTCAACAATCAAATTACAGTTTATATCATGCAACTCAAGCTGTTTAATTTATCTGCATGTATTTGAAATTTGACTCCCATTCCACTACGAGTATTTTTATTTTTATTTCATTTATTCAGTTCAACTGTATAGTTGTAAAATATGTAAAACAACAAACCTACCTTTTCTTGAATACAGTAGAACCCCTCATATCCGGCCTTGGTTTTACCGGACCAGGCTTCCAGGAAGCCAATATCAAAATTTTTTTCTCACAGCTTACAGACGTTTAGATGCAAGCACTAGTCTTTGTGACTACTCAAGTCATAAAAAAAATTGTTCTCATTATTTATCTGTTTGTTTATAAATTTATTTGCTGAGTCACTATACTCAGTTGAGCTAGTAGGCCTCTGATCAGTTGATTGATTATTTCCAAAGTAGGGTTATTTATTACAGTACAATACGAGTACATTAATTTTTGTATTTTACAAGTCCTAATGATTTTTAAGTACAATTTATTGTGATTTTTACCTCCATTTAATAGGTTTTGTTACCTGGAATCGTAATATATGTACATTCTTTACTTAATGGCTTTAACCTAAAAACATTTTTTTCTTTTTACAAACATGTTTATTTTTCTAAAAATGATCCCAGAACAGAATTAAATGATATTTTTGATTGCATATATTGACTACCTATTATTATTAGGTATGAATTGTCATTTTCATAGTAGGTTGGTTTATCCGGCCAACTCGTTATCCGGTCAGGGGCTTGGTCCCGTCGTGGCCGGATATGAGGGGTTCTACTGTACAAGATTTCAATAGTTTGGGTCTTGATATTTTAAGATTTTTCACAATCCTCGTGAAATCCTGGCATGGGCGTCAATCTGACTTTTGTATAGGGGTGGGGTACGGAATAAACCCCAGTAAAAAAGGTGGTCTTAGGGTGGTACTCCAGTAAAATAATTAAAATTAGGATAAAAAAAATAATTAATTTTACGCTTTTTTAAACATAGGCCTAAATTTGTTATGTCAATTTATGTTGCACTGATTTAAAAATTCAAATTCTTACTACTGTGCCCACTGGCATAGTGTGAATTATTTATAGTTCTTGCCACCCTATGTTGAGGCAGCCAAAGGCCGCACTAGATATACGCCGTGCGGCCTTGGGCTGCCTCAACTTAGGGTGGCGAGGACTAACTTTTGTTTTACTCCGCAATCTAAGGAAATAGGTTATTTTGAGGAGAACTTCTAGACAAAATTCATTAATTTTTCCAGATTTAACAGAAAATCCTGGGTATTTTGGTCGTGATTCCTAGTCCCCAAGTGTACAGTTGGGTTATATAATGAATCTGCGGGTACTCCATGTTTTTGTGTCGAGCGTGAATTTCCACGACCACGGAGAGCGTTTACAAAGATGCGCGATTGAAAATTGACTATTTAAACGCGATCGATGAGACAATGATGTCTTGACGCAGAATTTGTCTAAGATTTATTTTGTACCTCGGAAGATGAGCATGATTTTGCCAAGACCAAGGATAGATGTTCTCAATTTTGCCATGACCGCGGAAGATTTTTACGATATTGCCATGATTGTTGACAATGGACACGGAAGACGTTCATGATTTAGCAGTGACTACTGAAGATGTTCTAATTTTTGCCGTGATTGCGGAAGACATTTACCGCTTTGCCGAGATAGCCTAAGATGTTTACGGTTTGGCCGAGATCGCGGAAGATGTTTACGGCTTAGCCGAGATTGCGAATTATGTTCATTTCACTGTAATCGCAGATGTTCTTGATCTTGTCATGGCCACGGAAGATGTTATTAATTTTACTGTCACCCCTGAAGGTGTTGACGATTACACCCTGACAACGGATGACGATCAAAATTTCACCTTGACTGTAGGTGCAAAATTAAAACTGGTTTTCCCAGTGCACGTTGAAAATTTCCGCATAGTTCCTGATTTAACTAATTTACGAAAACCTCCCAGGATTCTCAGTCTGTATAGTCAGCCTGGTAGAGCCTCAAACTTGATCACAGTTACCCTTCTGTATGAAGAAGTTGCTTTAGCTCTGGCTATTAAGGTTTGCAAAATAGATTTGGCTTGAGCTATTAAGGTTTTGGTGTGAGTTGAGTTATGAAAGTTGTGACATTATTGTCACAAATTGAATACCTCAGTATCTCAAACTTTCGGTGTTACAAAATTAACCCAACACCTACTCAAAAAATCGATGTACCCAACCTCCTTCAGTTTCGAGGTACCCATTTCTATTGTTACTTACTTTTTGTATGAAAAGTTTATAAATGTTATAACTTTTTTGTTAATGATCCTTTTGTGTACTCCATCTTCTATTGTCAATATGAGTACATTGCGTCAGTTTTCTTGTGTACTATCATTGACTTTATATCTACACTTGTGTATATATAAAGTCAATGGTACTATATAATACTATGATTACAATCAAAACAGATGGATAAACAATGAACATCAAGTCGTTTTTAGGCTGATTGTAAGAAATTACTACATGGATCTAATGTTCATCCCAATAAATAAGCATTCAACTGGATTTGCACTGGTTTTGGTGAAAACTAAAAAGTATTTCCTTCAACCTAGCATTACTAACTTGTTTGATTTTATACTGGGGCTTTTTTAATAAATGGCCTCACAATTCTGACTCAAATGATGAAATCAGCCGACAATTTTTTCTAGCAGATTGTTGTAAACGGTGATTGCAGAGCTCAGATAGCTTATGGCTGCACTTAATCTAGGCAGCAAGTGCCTCATCCTCTACTAACAAAGGCCCTCTACCAGTGGCGTAACTAGAACATGGCTTTGGTGGGGGGGGGGATGGAGGAGCCCCAAATACGGGGGGTGGGGGCCTGGGGGTATGGAAAACCCCCCAGCAAATAGGGGGGTCCGGGGAAAATTTTGAAAAATTAGAACTCCAAATTTGCGTTTCCAGGCATTCCAGAGGTGTAATCACGTTCAAATCAACCCAATTGAGGCTCTCTGGCCGGTCAGTATCAGGAAATAGCAAGTAACTAAATCATAATCACAACACAACAAACAAACAAATTATTATTAAGTTGTTGTTGTACTGTAGCCTTCTGAGCTGTGCGTGAAGAGCCGTATCTACAGAGTTTATGATCACACAATCAACAATGATGTGAATGTCAGCTGTAAAGAGGAAAGGTAAAATATCCTTAGGCTACTGTTAAAACTTGATATTAATATAGTTGGGAAATTCGTATAATATTGTTGGGTTAATTCGAGTAATATAGTTGGGAAATCCACGTAAAATTGTAGTTGGGAAATTCAAAGTGTAATATATTTTTTTGGTGCAGTGTTGCCAACCTAATATGATGATTTTTCCATGTTATCGCCACTGGAAATACCCTATTTTATTACATTTTAAACTATTATGGAGAGGTTATTTAGTTACGCCACTGCCCTCTACCATATTTTCAAAAAAAGGCTGTTCAGTACATACTGGACTGAATTAAAGATCGGAATTCCCTTGATTGGTACAGTTACGTAACTAGGCATTCTTCTGTTGAAAATATGAAGGTACAAGAGGGATAAATGACAACGTGTCCTCCTTAGGTGTGTAGTATGTTTGACTCCCACACACAGTCAAAAAAGAAAAAAAAATAGAGACTAGAAATTATAACTTCTTGGTCGATTTGGGTTTGAAAGAAAGATCCACAGAACATTAAAATGGAGGGAAACTATCAGTTGGTCAAACTAAATGTCTGTGGCTTTTTTTGTGGGGGGGGGGCATTGTTATATATAACTCATGATCTTCAGTTACCAAAGATATGGCTGCAAAAAGTAGCCTAAGTTTTTTAAAAGTATTGTGATAGAACAATAATTTTTCACCGACTTTAACATGAGACAGTCTGGCATAGTTATTTTGTGTAATTTGTTGTTATTATGTGTTTGTTATTTTGTGCTGTAAAGATGTAAGCTGGCTGCCTGCCCCCAAAATATGTTCACCCTCTGATTCTGTATGAATGTAATCATTACCTGCACCAAGATGCAAAACAAAACACAGGTTATTTTAGTTAGGCCTAATTTTTTTCACAGCTTTTAGGATCTTAATTTAATGGTTGGTATGATGATAGAAATGAATCTCGTGATAAAATTATTTCATATTTATTTCATTATGTGCTCCATTAAAAAAGAATTTTCAGAAACAATATACATTACGACGAGAATAATGTTTACAGTACATCAAAACTATGGGTACATAGAGAAAAATCAAATAATTTATACTGTTGATTACAGAATTTGAAACATACTTGATATTGCTAATAAAAAATGAGTTTTGTTATACACATTATATCCTACAGCTATAACAACCATGGTGTCTTATGTTGCTACGAAGTGAGTTTAACTTAAATGAATTAGTGAACGGAATCTCGGAAATTGATATGAGGAAATTTGGAATTTTACATCAAAATATATCCTTGAACAGCAAGGGTGTTACATTTTTATTGAAAAGGGACAAGTTCAGCTATCTTACCTGAAAAAAATTTAGTCCAGTGGCCAACAGATACACAATAAAAGAACATAAAACATAACCCTGATTGGAACTTCTTTAGAGAGTGGGTTGAAGAGAAAAAAGTCCTACATCAGGATGTAATAGTGTGATGTTTAATGTTATTTTATTGTGTATCCATTAGCCCCTCAAACTTTCTCAGCTATGCTAGCTGAACTCTATTCCATTTAAACAAATTCCTTAGCAGCCAATTGGTTTTTTGTTCCAGGAAAGGCTATAGGCCACGATTTTTAATTGTAGAATAAATGGGATAGCAGCTAGTTTACATTAAAATAAGTCAGGAAGCCCATAAAACACAAAATATTTCAACTTCAGAGGGGCATAATATTGTGTTCTATAACTTACCTGTACTTCCAAGGTAGGCTAGCTGCTATTCCCATTTATTCTTACTTGCCAATTCTTTCTTTTAAGTAATTTTGTTTTGGTGTGAAAGCTTTTACAAGTGAATTTCTTTTCGGAGATTATATTTCCATTAAAAAAAGAACTGTAGTAAACAATTTGTATAAAATAAAAAAATGATAAAATAAAGCTTGAGATTGCAATATAATCCTTAACCAATATTGTACTAAAACTTAGTAAGGTCAATAGACAAATAATCTGAATAATCTTATAACTGGACATCAACTAGCATAAAGATCTTTTAAACTTTATTAGAGCACCGACAATGGTCTCTGAAAATCTAATACTAACCAGCAGTGTATTAACTTTCAAATAACCTCAATGAAAATCTGCTCAAAACATTAAATGTATTAAGTAAGAATGAAGCTTATGATAATGTTCCATAGTCATTATGAATAGCTCTTTTGAAAATACATAATCTACAACTTAAATATAGCTGACTTTGCAGATATTTTAAGTTTTAACTAAAAAATTATGATACCATGTGATCTACACACAGCATTTTTCTTACTTTCACTTACACCCACCAAAGTTTTATCACAATTTCTTCTTATCAATGATAAATAGACAGAACACAAATCTTTTTTCATTTATGAACTTCATAAAAAATAATATTTTAACAGGGAACAACTCCATAAAAATTAATTTAGGCAAGTATTGTGTATCTTATGCAATCTAAATGAATGATTACTATGTTTTATAACAGCTTAAAATTACGAATCGACCCTGAAAGAATATTACAGTGGGCATATAATACGTATATATATTTGTAGATGTGGGGGGTTGATCCACATTTACAGATAAAAATTGTCCTTCTTTACCTAAAATTTAAATTGCGGAAACAAGCAAACATGAAACAGAACAATTATTATGCTATCGTTGCACAGGGATATCTCAAGGAGATCAAAAAAAAAACCTATGTTCACGTAGTAAGGGTTGATTCACTTCTTGGATTTATCCCTCTTTGCCGTAACGCCTCGAGGGGGTGTTACTGGTCGCCCACTGTTTATCACGTTGTACGAGGGAAACTTCTTTTTGTCTGCCGGCTGCAAAAATAAGAAGAAGTTATTACCAACACTCATGCTGAATTCAAACTCATCCTAAAATATGCTGCAAGTGTCGGCATTTTTGATTAAATAATTTGATTGGGAATTATTTTAGCCACCCCATTTTTAAGAACTTGCATTAAATTACATTTCCTTTTGTTTGTGGTGGTTGTATACTAACACTTAAGTATATTTACAAAAATATTTATGTTTCTTGAAACTGGGAAAACAAAATATAGTATGAATTTCTATAATGAATCAAGTTAATTGAATTGGTTTGGTTAGAGTGGGAACACTTAGAAATGTCAGAGGGTAGGCAAGAGATAAATAGTGATAAACAAATGATGATCTCAACTGAAAGCTTGCCTTGAGAATTTGGAAGGAGCACATTAGAGTCTCGTCGACAGACATCATTGCACCAGCGTTGTCGAATTCGCCACAGTAATTTGGAGCGGAGAACAAAGTGACTAATTGTCGTTTGGCAAAGAACTCGTATCCGTCTTCAACCACCTGGAAAACCAAGGGATACGTAAGTGAAATGTCATTATTTATTTACATGGATACATTTAAATTGCTTAGAAAAGTTTGAGTTTTTAAATGAATATTCGAGAATCGAGTATGTAGCAAAACTAGTGTCATTCTTAAGACGTATTATTCAATATGTCAAGTTTATCAAAGGCAAAGCATTAAACTGTAAACATAACTCTTTAAGTTGCTTATTGCAAACAAAACCTTTGGTACCAATAATTTAATACAAATTTGCCTTTAATGTATCAACAAATAGTTTTAACACTACATCTGACAAGCGGCTCAATGAGTTGAAGTTGGCATTGAAAGACTCAAACAAGGTTTGTCCTGTTAGAACAGGATGTTGTGTATTAGTCTGAACACATCTCTGTACTTAGAATTAAATTAGGAATGTAGGAGTGGCACATACCTGGTGGGCTCTACATATCAAGTCAAAGTCATGCTTATGGAGGAACTTAGCCACCACTTCAGCGCCGAATGTGAAAGATACTCCTCTATCGTTCTCTCCCCATCCCATTGTGTCCTAGAACAAAAATTATGTTAGTACATCTCCACTAACAGTAATTAGGTCTGCATTAGTCTCTTTAAATTGTAAATATAAAGATCATAAATTTAGCAGACCAAAATGATAGAGGAATTAAGATTTAACCCATTGGATACTTATCACGGAACGGTTCCGTGACAGATGTTTTGGCCCAAAATCTTTATCACGGAATGGTTCCATGATGATGTAATACTATTTTTTAAAATTATTACAGTGCTATTATGAACACATATGTGTTTAAAATTGTTCCTAAAAACTAAGGGAAAGCCATATTTGTACAAAAAAATATATAAATCCAGGAATAACATCAAAATAGCTTATATATCGAATTCTGATCATATTCGGTGATTTGGGAATTGAGTTTGACGTTTTATAACTTATAGCCCATTGGTCAATTACAATATATTTATTTACAGGATTTTACGTTCCAAAGGCTTTGACTTTAATTTGTTTACTATTTGACAACTAGTACTGTTGAAGTTTGTGTGGTTATATTGTTTTGTATTCGTATTGCGAGTAGCTTTTCAAACCGAGGTCGTGTTGTTTACAAACTGTAGGCTATTATGGCTCGTCATTCAAGAGATGACAACTTTGACAGAATTTTTAGTAGTGAAACTGACACAATGTTAGATGAAGAGGACAGAGAAATTGAGGATGAAGGTGATATATCTGGTGACGAGTGGGTGTGCGAAGCTGAAAGAGCGGACATCAGCGATGAGTTGGATGAACTTGACCCTATCCTAGAAGATAATAGGCCTGTTTTGGAGGAAGAGGTTGAGAATTGTTATGAGTTTGATTATAAACCAGAACATTGATTGTTTGTTGATACGTTGTTTGATGATTCGGTGATTGAAGAGGTAGGTGATTCAATGGATATTGAAGAGGTAGGTTATGAAATGGAGATTGATAGCCCAATTATAGAAGAGGTTGAACGATATGATCTTGATCAACATTTAGTTGAAGAAGTAGGCCAAGGCGATGGGCCTATTCCTACACCTGACTTGCCAGTGATAACTGTAGCTAGGCCTACTCGTGATAAACCTCTAGGCTCCAGAAGTCTTTCCAGAGGAAGGTCTAATTCTAGGAGAGGTAGGGGTAGGCATTCAAGAAGCCTTAAATACTGCTTGGCTTAGATCCAACACAAGAACTTCTAAGTCTATTTTGACCATGTATGATGAATTTACACTGTGAGTGAAATGTTTTAGCAGCTAGGCCTATTAGGGTATCTTAGACTAATGCCATTATTGTTTACAAATCTCAGATCACAGAAGTTAAAAAACTTTCCTACATTCTTAACAGACCGGGATGTAATTTATATTGGGGGTACACAATAGACCATAGTAATGCTACAAATCTTGTCACTAGAGCTGAATGTATAAACCAATTTCTCGTATACCTTTCTAAATGAACAATTTTTATTCAACTTGGTGCCTAAAAAAAAGTGGTTCTTCTGCTCTCTTAATCGGTCATTAAAACCTGTGATAGTCGAGAGGAAAGGGTTAGGTTCCTCCCCACAATTCCTACAGAAGCCAGTTTTGATACACAGGATACAAATTTTGGTGGGATCATTTGCAATCTCAAGATGAAGTTTTATAAGTCTAACTGTTAGGATTGAATTTTCTAAAAAGTGTTTAATACTATATTATATCTCACTATTATAAGTTTGTTTTTATTATAGCTCTCCATTATATGTTTTATTGTCCTCAGCATTATTATGTAAAAGACATACATAAAATATTCAAACATTTTACAACTGTATGTACTCATAACATAATTCTTGCAAAAATATTGTTTTTTATTACCTGGTGAGAAAGGCTGTGTGGAAGAATTTTTTCAATTCATTGCGACTGGATTAACCTTACATCAATGAAATTTAGAAGGCTATCTTTTAATCAAGACATAGCTGAACTAAATCAGTTTGGAAGTCTGACATTGGCCTACCTTATCGGGATCCGACCACAGCAGGTCACAAAGTAGTCCTTGATCAGGCACGTCCGTGGGCCTCATGATACGGCGGATCTGTTCCATGCTCTGCAGATCAGGACTCAGGCCTCCATGACAACAGAAGATCTTCTCATCGACAATTGCGGCGACAGGTAAACAGTTGAAGCAATCCGTGAACGTTTTCCACAGCTTAATGTTGTACCTTCGTTTGCCTGAGAACAAATATTATGGGGATAACGTTATTAACCTACTTAAAGTTATAAACATTTTTGTGTTTAGACTTAAGATGTACAAGCGAAATGGACCACCACACATGTTGCACATGTGTTGTTCTATGTGCCATTCCACCAGCCGTGGCACCTGGATTATGAGTCCCATGCATGAAAAAGCCCAGCAAAAAAATATTTAGTGTGGAATTCATTTGAGGTCCCTTAGTTGTTAATTCAGCAGAACGTGAGTTTTTATTTGACCAAAAACGATTACCTGAACCAATCTACAACATCTTGGAGTTGGAAATAACCTACTAAAAACTACCTGGATAGAAAAGTGAGACTTGCTTGAGTAAAAAAAAAGAAATTTACAGTGCAATGTTGCAAGGCTTTCAAACTAAAAATAAATTTTGGTAAGGCCAAAATATATTTTTGAAGGACCATGGAATACCATATGATGGTTTGCTATTTTAAGCAGACGAACGGTTGTACATTGAAATATTTTTTAAAGAGTGTTTAGAAAATTTGTCAAATATTGGTCTACTGAGAGAGAGGAAATCACAAAGCAAATTTACTGTCTGAATGTTCAAGAGAACATGCAATTTTAACCAAACAAGATGTCTTTACATTATAATGGTGATATTTGTCTCAAAATGAGACCATCCTAATTCAACAGTTTAACACAATATGACCAACTCAATTGAGTACAGAGAAGCAATTAAATCAGAATAATACGAAAAAAACATTGAACAAGAAAGGACGAAAAGAATTTTGTACATAAGTTACACTAGTCCTATAACTATAAATAAGAAATTGTGTATGTCTGTGTGTATGTATTAAGACAAATTTAATTCACAATTTGTTTATGTAAATAAGACAAAAATGTTATAATACAGGAATATATTATTTATTATTTTGATTTACTATTTTCTATATCCTTTTCCTTTCCCTTTTTCTGTTTGAACTAAAACAGCAGTCAATGACTTGAATGAATTAGCCTTACAAATGTTGACATAAACTGGTGGGATGGGCTCAAATAAACATCAACTTATCTTATCTTTCCCAAAAACAAGGTGAGGCTTTAGCTACCTTATTTTTACAGCTGTGTTGCATGTAAAAGTTCACTATATCCTAAACTTCTGCCTCGACTTCCTATGCTTTGGAAAGAAATTTAAAAAAATACCTACACGATTCAACGTGACAAGATAACAACTTTGCAGATTTTACTGCAACTCAAAAACATAAAGATATTTAAACACTAGGCCCTATATTGTAAATATACATCTTATCTTCTTTATTGAGTAATCTTTCATAATAATTTATTTATTTGTTCAATAACATTTTTTATGTTTAGTAAGCAACTTATGATCACCAAATTTATGAATTTAAATCTTAAATATTTTGGTTTGAGTCTTACCCACAATATCATTATTTGATCTTTTGAATTCTGGGCAATATCATTTTTCTACCCTGCATAATATGCAGTGATATTGTTGTTTCCTGTGATTGTGGCAATTACATTACATGGCCAACCCATATCAGTATGGATACTGTCAGTGTGTGTCATACAGTATTAAGACTAATATTATGTATATTCTGTGAAATTTTGTAAAATCATGTAGGATGTATTGTAAAACAGTCTTGTTCATTGGAATGAACAAATGATGTCTAATGAAACTTGCCTTATGTCCCCAACAATTTCCAAAATAAATTAAATCCTTTGTAGACATTAAAATAAATGAATTGAAAATTTGAATAAAAATGCCAAATAGAATTTTTTACCAGTTTTTAGGATTACCTTCAGATTCATTGAACTTTAAATCTGTTTAAATCTTTAATATTAAAATAACCTGTTGACTTCTTTTGGAGAATCGTTACGGATTTGGAAGGAAAATATAGCATAGGCCTATTATTTACCTTCTGAGATAAAATACTAATTTATCTGCACCCTAGTGATGGGGTGATAAAATTGTGAAATTAGGAAGTAGAAAGGGGGAAAGGGTAGCACTGAGGTGAGCCTTAAAGAAATAAAATACTGAAAAAGAATACATCTTGATCAGGTGGGATATAATGTTATTAGGCTGCATATAAAATTGTTTACATTCAGTATGTGCTACTTACACTCATCGTAGAACCCGTATATCCTGTTGATGCTGGCGCACTCATGGTTGCCCCTCAACAAGAAGAAGTTTTCAGGATACTTGATCTTGTAAGCCAAGAGGAGACAGATTGTTTCCAACGACTGTTTACCTCTATCAACGTAATCGCCCAGGAACAGGTAGTTAGATTCTGGTGGGAAACCACCGTACTCAAAGAGACGTAGCAGATCATAGTACTGTCCGTGGATATCCCCTAAAAATAAACATATTAACATTTTAAATTTAAAAAGGTTTTCATGAGTATTTTCATGTTTGTATGAGTGACAATTACTCATACATTTTACACGTTTAGTAAATACGTAAATTGTATCACTTTTCATTTTCGAACAAATGTAGGCCTACATGTTTATATTCAATATCTTATTTGTCATTTAATTTAAATAAAACTTTTTTCTGTATACAATTTCAATCGTTTTAATACAATTTAAATCCCCTGTGCTAACATTGCACGCTTTCAGTGAAAACAATTCCAAGCTGCCGGGAGCAAGCCACCACGATAAATGCTGAGAGCGTCGGAACCAGGTTAGTACGGATAGAATTCTGACTTGCTGCCGACTGCATTGAGGCCACTCTTGCGGGCCTTCCGATGGCAAAGGGTTAAAACCCAATGATCAGGAACAGCTGGGTCCAGTTTCAAACCATCAAAAAGCTACTGACTTTTCTCAGGATCGAGCTGGTGACCTTTTGATTGTTAGGCGAGCATTTTAACCACTCAGCTACCCAGCCTTAGATGGCAACAAGACCCTGTCCCTTACCAAACACATAAAAATAAGCATAAACACACCCAAAATCAAAAGTCAAATAGGATGAAGTTTTTTTTTCTTATCACACCATCTTGTCAGAGTATGATAAAATTAAAGTTTCTATTACATAACAATACTACAACCAAAGCCTGCTATTTTTACTTCTTAACGCTACTAAAATCAACAAAAGAATATGTTTGTATATTCCTTGTAATAACTAAGTTTTATAATTAGCTAACCTTATGTATGGGTTTTAAGTATAATTTTCCTTTTTAAGAGAAGGAACAAAGTAATTTAGATAATAGAACTTGTTCCACAAACAATTTGGTAAAGCAATAAGGCATAGGCCTAAGCTTAGTTCGCATGTTTTTTAATTAACAGAATTTATATAGCTCGCTAGATGAACTTGGTAGCCAAATCAAGTTTAGTTAATAAGTTGATAGAAATAGTTAGCCAGTTAGTCATAACATGAAACATCTAACCTTGGTTGTACTGAGTAATCTATTTGCTAACCACAGCTATATGCAATAATAGATTATATGACAGACATGATTCATACAGCAACTTATGGCAGTGCAATATTTAACTGAGGGAAAATCTCCAAAAACAATACAATACTTAAAAATGTATTTCTAATTAATTTATTGTCTTAAATTTTCTTTGTTTCGAATACTACTGGGTAGGTAGATTAAATTTAAATTTAAATGGCCCAAATCGAAGGCTTTCAAAGTAAAGTATTTTTAGCTTTGTCACAAGATTAGCATTTTTGAAAAAGATCCACTTCACTCTAGATTAATTAATTCAATTTTTAGTATTTCAAAGTGTCATTTATGTAGGCCTACTATTTAACATTTTAAATGTAACTAAAAGGAATAAGAGGTTAACACCTCAGTCCAGTAGATGGCTCTCAATGCCAAACTGGTTATGTGATTTACTCTTTGTCGAAGGTTGCATTTACATTATAGCACTATGCTCATTTGCATGACTCTTTTGGTATTTAATATCATTTTTGGCACCACACACTATCTGCTCGACCAGTTTGCAAACCCGGTAAACTATACATAAGAGGGTAATATAATATATACCACAGTGCTTTAAAACTATGAAAGTATAAAAAAAAAACAGCTCTATTGTTTATAGCCAAAAAGCTAAGTAATATTATTTTTATAACATGCCATACATAGGTCTACAAATATATAAATGGTTTCATTATACAAATATATTACAGGTCTCCAAAATAGCTTACATTATACTATACATGATATCAGCGTCTTATAAATTAATATTTACAATTGCATTCCTGCATTGATATGAGTTAGGAATTCCTGGACGCTGTAAGAGGTAAAATTTATCATAAGAGATTTTAATTGTTTTTTTTTTTAATTTTGAAAGGTTTGGTTTTAGCTTAAGAGAAAGTGGAAGAGAATTGAGAAGTTTAATGCCACTGTACTGTAAGTGTCTTTTGAAAAATGTTGTAGAATGTTTAGGGATTGGTAATGTGTGTGAGTTTTGCAATGTGTAGTGGTTTTTGACAGAAACGTTAAATTGAGAAAGTTCTTGTTTTACAAATGTCAAGGATTCAAGAATATAAATAGATGGAAATGTCAAATTTTTTGAATAAGCAAAAATATTTACAGCAGGATTTTATACAAAGAGAAAATATATTGATACCGTTAGAAAGAGGAGATTTTGAACTTTTATTTTCATATATTAACAAACCTCAAAGGTTTATTGCGGACATTTACCATCACGATTGTAAAAAAACAATACACAACGTTTCGAGATCTGGAATCTGATCCCGTCCTCAGGTGAAAAAACGTAACTAACACATTACAACTAACAATGCACGGGACCTAAGTTGGAATACACTACAGAGGGTAGCAGTCAAAAAATATGCACTGTATAGCAGTCAAGTCATGATACAACATGTAAATAATAACCAATCACAAAACACTATAGTCTATAAAAGGTGTAGAGTAAACAGCTCACACAATGGAACAATAATAACACCGTTCGCAATGACTTCACCAATGAGACAGAAGCAACATGACCGACCATGTTGTCTCAGTGTTTCCGATTGGTATTTTATCCTAAATCTCCTTTCTTTTCTGAACAAAACAAGTATGAATATGACTAGGTTATCAACAGTACTTTAGACACTGCAAACTGTTAAGAAAACCTCTGCAAAATAGCCAAAATTGCCAGGGTACCAAGCATTTTAGCATAAATCAGATCAGGGCAGTTCTAGGGTTAAGAACGCTACTGGTACTTGATATAAACACTCCCATTTAATTTAAGGAAACTATAAATTTTGAATAGTGTGATATCTAGAAGCTACACCCAAGCACAGCAAGTGTCTGTTCTTAGCCACATATACAGACAAAGTGAATGGTGAGCTTTTTAGCTGCATCTTTGGTAGCCTAATCGTTGATAGAAAAAATGAACTAAAACTTGTTAAAAGCAGAAATAGTTTGCAGTTTAAAGGGATTTTTTTAATATGGAAAATCAGCCGAAGGACTTGTTTCTATTTGCTATTTATCGTGCTAACGGAAATATATACATAGGCCTATATGAACGTTAACGGATGGTGTTTTTGGCATCTTGGAACATTAAAACAAAAAATAAATCAGCCCCGGGTCAAGGTCTTATTTGGTCTTCGCTAAAACCATTGTTAACATGCTAAACGCCATGATATTCGTGATTTTCCTTGTAGTTCGCTGCAGCCTACTGCTATATCAGTAGTGTGCTCGCCTGCCAAAATTGGGTCTGTCTGAGCCCAACACTCGGCTGGCGACAATGTGATTGTTGCCAGGCTGTAGCTTAGAATACGAGCTTTATTTTGGTGTAGGTTGGTACTAAACATTCCCGTAAAATCCCGTCTGGCAATGCTTTTGACCCGTTTTCGGGGATTTTCTCTATTCGAGCCATATTACAAAGACTCTGGTTATTGATCCAGGCAGTGCTGCTACCTTTGGGTAGGTACATAATAATAATATTACCTTCTACCGTTCCAAATTATTGTAGTCTACGACGCGTTTCGTCAACACAGTGACATCATCAGGTATCCGCTATCGCTTCGTCTTGAAAATTAACATATAGGCCTAACAGTCATTGCACAATTCACAAACACACATTTAATACATTTAACGACAGATCGGTATTGTCGTTGCGGTGGCCACAACTCGCGTACGCACATGATTAATTCTGGACGACAAGTACATGATAGGTCAATTTAGTATATGGTACTATGCCAAATAACATAGGACTAGGCATAAAACTTAACATAAAATAACTTGTATGCATAATTATTACAAAATACATTACCGACACAACTGTAGGTCGATAACTAGAGGTCTACGTCAAACTATTCAGTCTTACTACAAAGATTTATTGAAAATAGGAGACACTTGAGACAGATTTAACCCTAGGACTGCCCTGACCTGGTTTATGCTAAAATGCTCGGTGCCCTGGCAATTTTGGCCAATTTTTTTTTTTAACAGTTAGCAGTGCCTAAAGTACTGTTGATAACCTAGTCATATTCATATTTGTTCAGGAAAGAAAGGAGATTTAGAATAAAGTAAAATGTTAGGAATCCCTGTTGGTGGTTTTTTTCCAAATGTGAAAAAATAAAAAAGAATTCAAAACCATCTGTAAGTCAAATTTTTTGAATAATTTTCAAAAGCCCGGCCTAGCATTTTACACCAAATTTTTAACAGACAATCTAAGATATATGAAATGTAGGCAATTTATTTCCCTACGTGGAAATGTGATTGATTTGTTTCAAATAATTTTTTTACCAGAATTACGGGGGAAAATACAGAAATTGGGGAAAATCAACAAATTTGCGCTGAACATTTGAATTGAAACATAAAAATATAATCAGGAGTGTACAATTTATATACAATACTGATTGACTCAGAGTCAACCATTTCAAAAATAGGGCCCTGTTGAGGAATGACATGCACCCTAAGCTGGGATATTTGCATGAGGTCATTGCATTCCTACCAATGACTATCTTTGAAATCATTTTATCTATTTATCTGGCCAATATATAGTAGACTCCCTCTTATTCGGACACCCTTTAACCAGACATCAGTTTAACTGGACTACACTCGGTGGAAATGACATCTCTTTAACCAGACAATTTTTATCTGCACATAACCGGAATAGATAAGCAGGAAGTGGGCAGCACTGAAAAGATTTGAGACCAGTGATCGCGTGTCTAAATACAATGCTCTCCTAAATTTAAGTCAAATACTGTATTCAGTATGCATTTAAATCCGTTTTAATGAGTTTTTGGGGACGTCGGTTTAGGAAAGACTGTTATCCGAACTGGCCTCGGTCCCGAGGAGTCCGGATAAGAGGGAGTCTACTGTATGCTTAAATACACTTAGCTTAAGGTCTATATACAGGGTGCCCGTATTATGACGGCGGATGCTGGAATTAGGTTTTTGTCATGCCGAAATTAGGCAAAGGAGGTAAAATAAGGTAGGCCTACCGTACGTAAAGTATATTTCTTATATAAAATTCATTTTAAGGAATGTTTTGAGAATAAGTGTTTTTTTTTTTTTAATACTATAAGTTACCTAAATGTTTAGGTTTGGATCAAATATGTCCCATGCTGATAAGTTATTGCCTTCTCCCTTTAAAACCTGCCTGCATTTGGGCTGTTTCCCTTAGGCCCTAAGTTTTGAACTGTTTTCTCTTTATTTTGAGGGCCTAGGCCTAATTATAACTTTTATTAACTTAATTAGCCTACTCTATGAATGTAAACATATTTAAGTTACTGAACAACCTCGCTAATCCATCAACTGAAGGCCCGGGACCGCGGTCAGAACAGTGAAAACGTCAGATTATCTGAGAAGCAGCATGATCAGGATTTTCCGCGGTTGCTGAGGACAATTTCTGGATTTGTCAAGAAGTTTTCTACAATTGGGGTGTAGGCTACAATGTGGTAAATCTGGACTTTTCTTTTAAAAAGCCTTCCTAAATCATTCCTACGATTCTAGTGATAAACCACAGTAGGCCTACCTAACAAAATCTTTAATTGCAAAAATACAAGGAAAATAGATAGCCTAAATAAGAAAGATTAAAAACATTTCTCAATAAAACATTTATTTAGCTAGATCAACATTACAAATGCATTAGCCAAGTCAAATTTAGTAAAAGTAACTATTAAATATCTTTTAAAATATAAATTAAAATTCATGAGGACTGTCCGTCAGCGAGAAAGGCGCAGACAGTAGCCTTTACCCGCGAGAAATTACCTCAAGTGCCTTTTGAAGCATCCCGGATCTGAAGTGGACTTGATTTGAAGAGGGAGATCATTGAACAGTTCAATGGCATTATAATTTAGTAATTAAAATTTGTTAATGTCTTTCAAAGAATGTGGTTAAATGGGCTGGAATTCACATGTCTAGTTCGAGTCGGTTTGGACTGGAGACAGCGAGAGAGGTGTCGTCAGCAAAAGACATATTTCACCCTTTTGAACAACTGATGGGAGGTCGTTGATGAAGAGGAACAGTATCATACCAACAACCGAACCTGAGGCACTCCACTACCGATCGTACCAGTAAATGATCTGTGAGGGCGAAGACACCCAAATTCCATAAGAGTGTAACTTCTCCTTGAGAAGGTGATCCATCCAAGATGATCCACTGGGTCAAATGCTTTGGTCATGTCGAAGAAGATGCCAAAAGCTTTCTCACCTCTATCCAGTGCACTGACCACAGTCGATACAAGGTGATAAATTGCGTCTGTTGTCAGCCCAATTTTTATGAAGCCAAACTGTTAACTGGTGAGTTCCCCCTTTTTATGTATAGGCTTAAAAACAGAGAGCTTTAGAGTATCGGGAAACTGACCAGAAATAGAGGACGAGTTAATTAAATGAGTCAGAGGTGTCAAGATCACATCATCACCTTGGTGAAATTTCATCTCTGCCGGTTGAACTCTTATTTTTCATCAACATTATCTAAAAGTTGCGACTTCTTTTTCAGTTGTTGGGCAAAGGAAGAGAGAATTTGACACATACCTTGTACAGCTGTTAGTACCTTTTTTATTTGACTGGCTGCAAATCTTGACAAGAAATTAATAAATCGATCAGCCACTAATTGTGGATCTATGATTAAATAAACTTTCTCATCAAGGAGGTGGGGTTCTTTAAATTGTTAGTGTGTTCCATTTTTATTTTCACTAATTTTAACACATAAAGCCTTGCTTTTATTTTCTGCCTAGTTTATTTTACATGAGATTTCTTTTGCCTCACAAGTCTTCTAAAATTGGATTTTATTCTTAGATAATATTGCCTCATGTAATGTTCGGAGGGAAGATCTTTTGTTCGGTTGTAAAGGTCAATCATTTCTGTCCTTTTTTGGCACATTTATTTGTCTAAAATAACACGACCTGTGTTTTTCCTTTCTTTTTTTATGCTAATTCTAATATATGGCGTAACTGGCTTTCAAAAATGGAAAATTTGTCATTCATTGTTGTTGTGTTGTGCTAGGCTAATAGAAACCCGGAGTCTATGAGACCCCATTAGAAAATAATGGACCCCGCTTGGAAACACACAAACCGAATCCCTGGGCCTATGAGACCCAGTTTTAAAATAGGCCTACCGGTACACTAAACTCTGGGCTTCTGAGGTGGACTATGATATGAACAGACAACCTAGGTCAAGGTCACGGCACCCACGCAAAATGAACAAAAACTAAAACAAAAAGTAGGGGAGGAAAAGCGCAGGAAGGTATTGGGGGAATGGAATCCCCCAAATAAACAGTGTTGCCAACATGCGTTTGGCAAAAAAATTGAAAATTCCCGTGGGCCTGTCAGACCGAAGTTTCGATAATAGTGTGAAATAAGATAATTGTTTTAACCAAAGTAGGCTACATGGCCTATCACTTCCTGTGCAATATGTTACACGCCTTGAGAAACGGCCTAGTTCCGTTATATTTCTGCAATTGGCGGCTGGTTTTGACATCTAAGTTAAAAACATTTCTTTAGGTTTATTGATGATTGTCTCAAAAAAGTTCGGAAATAGGCCTAGGCCTAAGCCTAACCCGTAACTTACCCATAGCCTAATGCTTCTTTTATCATAGGAAGAGTCCTAGATTTGCCCATAAACGTAGGAGACTTTCAATATTTTGCCACGATCACGGGAGACAATGATATTTCCATTAACCTACCAGAAAAAAGTCGCAAACATAGATAAGTTAACAACTAACTTATATATATACATAGGTAACAAGTACCTAGGCCTATTCATGCTTTGCAAAGGCAACAAATCATATAAACTTACTCCAAACCTAGCATTATAGGCCTCTAAACTTAGGCTAGGCTAACCAGGGAGAGACCTTTTGAGCCTAGGCCTAAATGCCAATGAATTCATTATTTTTAATATCACTAGTAGGCCTAATGGTCTTGTTAGCAGTATGCCTAGAGGATGTTGCATAATCTAAGAGCATAGGCATAGAAATGTAGGCTAATATAAACAGAAAACTTACCACAAATTTTCAAGGGAGCTTCCAGCTCCAAAAGAATAGGTTGGGATAAAAAGATTTCTCTGGATTTTAGACACAATCCCCTGATTTCACTTTCCGTAAGCTGCACATTCTTTCCCGGCCTTGCTCCTCTGACTGTAAAAGAAAATCTGCTTTAGCTCAAAGTTAAAATGAATAGGCCTACCATTTCAGAACAAAAAGGGCATAACATCCTTACAATGAAACGACAGTAGGTATAAACACTTTTCTTTTCAATATAAGGTTTAGGCCTATATCATGATTTACCTTCAAGCAGTCTAGCAATAATACTATCTATGTTTAGTTTGTCGTCCGTGGCCATTGTTGATACAAATGACAAAAGTTAAATTAGGAAATATACAACAATAATTTAAAGAAACGCCACTAATCTTCAATTTCTACACCGCACCAACATATAAGCTAATGAGCGTAATAATGGCTTCCTTCCAATGGTGTTGACGTCATCTTCAAGCGGCAAAACGCCCTCTTCTTTTTATTTTCAACAACCTACAAAGGTTATATATATACATTATAGCATGTAATCTATTTACGCATTCAGTTAAAATTAAACTGTAAAATCAAGTGATAAAAATACTAATCATGTAAAATATTCGTTTAACTAGTAAATATATCAAATATTGAACATGTCCCATTGCCTATTTTAGTATACAGTCATTGACTTTATATATGTTTATATCTACACGTGTTGATATAAAGTCAATGATACGGTCTAAGTCTAAGTAAAATTTTACTGGGCGTTTTATTTTTCCTGTTATCTGAATAGGTATGCGAAAAAAAATGAAAATAAAATCAGGCACACTTTGTTAAAACACACTTGGTGGCTGTGACTTAATGGGTAAAATATTGGAGGGCCGTATAGTTATGTACATCTATATCTTAAACTGTCTCGTATTTGTTAAGAAAATATCAACCTTTTTCAAAATCAGTCTCAACCTATCTCCTATGGTTTGAGAAGCCGGTCCGATTTGGACATTCCAAAGCACAAAACTGTTTTTTTGAAAATCATTTATTTTACATTGGCATTCAACTGTTCAATGCACTGCCCACTCCCCTTAAGATGGAAAATATAGTGTAGACAAATTTGGCAAAGGGGTTGGGAGTCTTCTTTTGGGGACCGCGTCTCGTTGTCCCGCCGTCTAGTTGTACCTATGCCTACTTGTACCTCGAGAACTAGGGACAACTAGTCGTAGGTACAACTAGACGTAGGTACAAGTAGACGGTGGCTCACCCGACTAGTTGTACCTGCAGATTTTTAGGAGGTACAACTAGACGTAGGTACAAGTAGACGTATGTACAACTAGACGTGTATCCCACCGACAAGTAGTATCACCTAGCTTGTACGGATGCGACAAGTTGTCCCTACGACTAGTGGTCCCTACGACTAGTGGTCCCTACGACTAGTGGTCCCTACGTCTAGTTGTACCTACGTCTAGTTGTACCTACGACTAGTTGTACCTACGCGTATTTTGCGTCCTTATATAGTCTAGTTGTATCTATCCTTCAATTCGTTACTCTGTTAAATTGATTACTGCACGAGTACTTTTTAATAATACCCTTAATTAAATCAGAAACTGCAGTGTTCCGAGTCAATTGAGTATGATTGGCAAATATTTTTTTCCCGCACTACGATGTTTTAGTAGTTTTACAGACGTTAATTGGAGACTGAAAGCTACGCATTGCTGTCCAGGGTCAAAATGGTAGCTATAGTTGTAATTAAATTTTTCCAGCCCTAGTACCAAAAACCGCTTAATTACTTAAAACATTTATTTAAATTATTAAATATACAAGCAGTATATCCTTAATGAATTGCAATAGACCGCTGCCTAGCAATTATGAATTGCTATTTTTGCTGATACCTTTAAATATTTTTTCACATAACCTTAAAGCATTTGCATTGATTAGTGTGCATTTCTTATAGTTTACAATGGATTTCCCAGTGAACAATGAGCAATGAAGTTGAGGTCTAGTGGTTGAAAACTCGACCAAAAATATGCAATGTACAGACTTCTCTATTTAACATACACTGTAAATAATACATATGTGATTGAAATTTCTTCCATTTGTTTTGATTTTATTTTCATAATTAGTTGTTATTTCGTCACCAGCATAGCAACCCGTTAAACCCATGTTAGTTTAAAAAATATATAATTCTGTTTTATGTATTTTTTTAACCTATTTTAATTTATGAAGGCGTTCTGTAGATCGACAGGAAAATACATTTCTACCGATATGCGGATATTTTCTCTGTGATGTTCGAGCTGAGAAAAAGGTTGTAAAGAAACATGCTTGTCTATTAATAATAATAATAATAATAATAATAATAATAATAATAATAATAATTGAAAAGTCATATCTGGGTTATTTTTTCAATGGTATTTCAATACTGAGCTTTAATTACGTTTGCGTAGAAGGTAATTAAGATGTGTTTTTGAGAAAAGTTAGTAGTTAAGTGTGAAATACACTAATTTGTCAAAGTATATGCATCAACAGCCAAACTACGCCAGTTTACGTAATATCCATAAGTATAACATATATATTTTTTAATTTGAACTTGTAATATTCTCCGTGACTAATACCATACAAAAACACTTCATCATACTCAATTACCGGTACTTGTTTTTGTAAACTCTGAATTTATTTATTTAAGATAATTGTTTAAAGTTGTTGTTAAAGCTAGTTAATGTTATTTTTCTGTAGAAAGGTGGAGTTTAAGTGGAAAAAACAATGATAGCAGATCTTGACAAGAAATAAGGAAAACCAAAGTGTAATATGGATAAGGACTGACCGAGGGACACAGTACATTGTTATCAAGAACAGGGGTTTCTCAATGAGCTGCGGACAAGCTAAATTTTCCTGGCTTTTGTAGCAAGTTGTTTATAAAAAATTGTTGTAAGATTGTATGATTTTTAAAGAAATAAGATTAATCCCTTAAACTGTAGATAAGTTGAAGGGGAGATACAACTAGCCGTAGGTACAACTAGACGTAGGTACAACTAGACGTAGGTACAAGTAGGCGTAGGTACAACTAGTCGTAGGTACAAGTAGTCGTAGGTACAAGTAGTCGTAGGTACAAGTAGACGCAGACGTATGAGGTACAAGTAGACGGTGGCGTACCCGACTAGTTGTACCTGCAGATTTTAAAGAGGTACAACTAGACGTAGAGACAACTAGACGTAGGTACAACTAGACGTCCGCACCATCGTCAAGTTGTCAAGTTGTACCTACAGATTTAGACGAGGTACAACTAGACGCCTGACACCAAAATGCAGCAGGTACAACTAGACGCCGGTACAAGTAGGCATCGACCCTTCTTTTGTCACGCTGGTGTTACAGTGTTGAAGACTTTTTAAGAAAACGATGATCTTAAGTTTTTAGATTTTATCCAAAAGAAATATTTTTTTTATTAGAAAGAGAAATTTTGTTGACGCTATTATGCAGTTTGTCACGACTGTCAAAAATAAAGATGTTTGAGTTTGAGTTCCTCCAGAATAAACAGTGTCACGTTTAAGAGGCGTTCCTTTACTTTTGTACCAAATAATAATAATAATAATAATAAGGTATTTATTTAGCGAGCGTTTTTCAGATACAATAATTTTGCTTATAAAAACAACTCTTGTCCTTAATACTAATAAACTATCCATAAAATATAACTACAAACAATATATAAAGAATCTATTAAAACAATGTAAAACAATCCATCCCAACAATCAATTAAACAATCTTAAAAAAAATTAAAATCTTTAACAAACTGACTTAACATAACCAGAATCTGGAATACTAGGCTAGACCAAACATACAATAAAAACATACATTTACTTTAAATACTACTACTTTTGCAAAAAAAATTCCTTGAACGTTTTTTTGAAGTTTTCAAAGAGTGTGTTCAATAGATCGCCTTTCGTAATGCTATTTCCATATGCTGGAAGACAATATTAAAAAAACTGACAATATCAATTAAAGGCCCTTACTAGTTTTATTTTGGTGTTCTCAGGTAAAATTCCTTTCAATGTATGGACCTCACAGCCGGCCAAGGGCTCGCTGACACATGAGGTTTACATGGTCAGAGCGTCAGATCTTCATAAAGAATTATACCTAGAGTTTTTAGTTTCTCGCATATATTGATGGCTGTCCCATCCCATTTATTTTAATTTTACTGATCATGTCTTGCCTAACATTTCGTTTAAAATGTCTTGCGGTGTAATATAGAGAACAGAACATTTATCATTGTTCAGTTTCAATCCATGGTTCTTTGACCAGGAAGATATAGCATTCATTTCATTATTAATGACATGTAAATTTTTTTATCATACAGATATATCCGGCAATCATCAGCATATAAATGTGAATTGCACGTGTTTACAATTTTTGTGGTGTCATCAGTGTATATATTGGAGAAAATTCTACCTAAGCATGTTCCGTGGGGAATTCCTCTTTCTTTTATTGGCAGGGGAGATGATACATAGGGCGTATTAATTTGCGGTATTTTATTCAAATGACACTTTAAAAGAAAAAAAAAATATTGCTATTATTTACAACAATATTTTGTTGTGTTGGCTACAAATTCATCGTTATTTTCACTTAAATGTTTCTTATAATTTATTGTTGAGTTATATCATAGACTAACCAACACAAGTAGACTTCTCATCCCATTGTAAATTTTGAAGCTCGTTTTTCATGTCTAGTTCATGTACGCCACACTGGGCGCTAGTGTCGACGAAATTTTGTTTCTATTATTTTAGGGTTAATTTCTTTCATTTTTATTGAACGGCAAACACCATTTTACAAGTGGGTTTAACAAGATTACATTATACATTGTGCATTATACATACATACAACGACAGAGCCATTTGAAAATGAGCGTAAAACAGTTTCCAGCTTAAACACAAAATCAATAAGACAAACGATAGAAAAATCAACAATAAATAACAATAAAAATAAATAACAATATAAATAAATAACAATATAATACATAACAATATAAATAAATAACAATCCCGTTATATTACAAATTATTATAATTCAAGATATTAATATTCGAGAAGATAATCAATCAACAATAGAAATAACACAAATAATTGAAAGGAATATATCATTAAAAACTATAGAAAACAACAACAAGGAGTAACAACAATTGATAAAGATTTAAAAAAAATTAACAGGGATTAAAATATTAGATTGAAAAAGATACAGTGATAAATCTCAGACAAAAAGAAAAACTTGAATTTACAGAATAACATTGCTTGGCAGTTGGCACTTCCTCTCACTGATTGTGTGGCCCTTTAGAGGCACCACCAAAAACACACTCACTTATTCACTGCACATGTGGCACTTGAAGTGTGGCCCTCTAGAGGCACCACCAAAATCTTGATTTGTGCTTTACTGTTTGGTTAAATAACTAGGGGATAATTTATTGTTTATGATTAGATTGTATTATTTGGTTAAACGAGGTTTTAAATTACTGTATTAACGGGAAACAAATTGTAAACAAAACACGACCTCTACATAAACCGTACAGAACTAACAATAAAATTGTCTTCAGCTGTTCCATTAGGATGAGAAATCTACTAAGGGAGTATGTTTTATCTATGGTTATATCTGTTACAAAAACGTCAAAAAATGTTAAATAGTGCGGGGCTTATAATTTTATTAATTACGGAGAGATTTAAATGATTAGTTCAAACATTCTGCCTTAATCTGTATTTTAAGGCAGCTATTTAGGGCTGTAATCTAGGGCTATTTTAGGCTTAGGCAGATTTAAAAAATAGTTTATACTAGTGAAATTTCCTTTGTTGATTTTCAATCTTTCTAGGTAGTGTATTTTTCTTAGGACTATCATATTATGAGGGTTTACTTTATATTTTCAATCTTTGTTTACACCATTATGTCTTTAAAATTGTAGGTATTTTTGATATCTATAAACTTGTACATTTATATTCAATCATACTGTAATACTACTTGTACAACTATGCAATTCAATGCAACCCTGATAATTAGTAATTGCGTAAGAAGAAGTAATGTAAATTGGAAGAAGAAGAAGCAGTAGTAATTTGGGTCTAGAGAGGATCGATCTATTGAATTTGGAAGTGCAGCTACTGTGACAAAATGATTTATAAAACAGTTTTCGTTTTACGCTTATTATCTTTTCTTTTCCTAATAAGATAATCGTCAGAGTTTAGAATGGTTTGCAGATCTTAAGATTTTCTTGTGGTTAATCATGAGTGGTGACATTCATCACCCAACCTCCAACAACGTTAGTGATGGCCTCTGTGAAACTGCAACAGAAGAAACTCTTATGATAATAAATCAGCAGTGCCAACAAATTGAAGACCTTAAAAATAAACTTGATACCGTGATGACAGAACGAGATCTTTTGCTTTGTGAAGTTAGCAGATTGAAATTTGAACTGGAAATTGCAGACCTCAAAAGGATTCATGATGACAGGTAGGCCTACATATAAAGAAAGGGACCTGGGCTCTTAGGGCCTAAACCTAGGCGAATATTCAGGATTGTATTACACATTTTAATGTTCACACACTCCCAATTATCTAAATGTAAAGCATGGCATTCCTTGATTTAGTAACACAAGTTTTATTTGGATAATTTTAAGTGAAATGACAGCTGATAACTTATTAGGCAACCTTAATACCTAGGCCTACATAGTTTACCAAACATAACTTATATTTTTCAACTAAGTAACCTGTAAATCAGGGGTGCCCAGGGAGGGGGGGGATACTGTGGAACACTTGCGCCACAGAAATTTTTGGGGGAGGGACTTTTTAGGGGATTTTGGGGGGGATATTTTTTTGCTAGGCCTAGCTGTCATATTGAATGTATAATTTTTTAGGCTATAAGCAGCCCGAAAAAGTGTTTCTAAGTAGCTCACTATCAACACCAACAACATTTTGCTGTTCTTAATTAAGATTGCTTCTAAGAATGGTAAAAACGCCTACCTTCTCCAGCAATCCTTAGGCATAATACTGTATATCAGTGTCAAATTTTACTTGCTACATGTTTTGGTGGTTCTTTAACTCCACCATCGTCAGGATTTACAAAAGATCCACTTCTGGAGGTGTCGTCAGAATACGTTAGGCCTACAAACATTTAACACAAAACACGAAATGATTACAGATAGGCCTAACAATTCACGTTTGTATATTGCCGTTGGCATGACTGGAAGTAACCTGAACTGAATCAGGTTCAGGTTTTTATGACGGACCGACGTGGTCTCTGGATTGTCGTCTGCGTTTTCAACAGCTGATATTGGATTAACTTAGGCCTATTGTTGACTGAGAAGAGTGTTGAAAATATAGTGGGATTCATAATTATTGAGTGTTTTCACTCAACAATTTTGTGTTGTCCCTAGTTTTATGTATTTATATGTTTCAAACTCCTCAAAGTATTTAAATTTCCTTTCGCGAATTTCAAGACCATCATTTATATCCAGCATATTAATTGGATATATTAATGTCAATAATTTTGAATGGAGAAGTCAATTATGAATCCCATTATATTTTCAACACTCTCCTCCGTCACCACAATTACCTAGTCCAATATCAGCTTTTGATAACACAGACGACAATCCAGAGACCATATGTTTCAAACTCCTCAAAGTATTTAATCGTCGGTCCGTCATAATAACCTGATTCAGTTCAGTTTACTTCCAGTCATGCCGACTTGAATGTACACACGTGAATTGATAGGCCTATCTGTAATGGTTTGTGTTATGTGTAGGCCTACAAAGGGATTGTCTGACAACATGCATTTTTACCATTATTACTCATAAAAGGAAATCCTGGGGCTATCAAAATGAATTATAAGATTACTTCGTCACAAAAACTTTTTGTAGGTACTGTTGGCAATTAAGGTATTGTGGGTATTTTGCTTGGCGATTTTTGTAGTAGGCAGCCTGGGAGTGGCAAGCAACAAGTCTGACTTATTTTGTGACTCAGCCTATAATTTTGAAACAGGATACTTTTTGCCAAAGTATTATTAATTCACTTAAAGCTGTTTGAGTTCGTAAGCCCTGTAAAAATTTACACCACCTAATATATTGTACAGTTACAGTACCTACTGTGTTGGAGTAGAGTAATTCACCGAGTATATTGTTGTATTTTTGAAGACGTTGTCTATTGCAATACTGAGTAAATGTTGGTATTGTTAAATGACGTTTCCTATTAAACATTTAATTTTGATTATCAGCAAGTTTGTTTTTCGTACCTCAAGTTCACTAAATACTTTAAATGCTCGTTTTATGAGGTACCCTAAAGGAAAAATTCAGTCAGATAAATTGGGGGGGGGGGGGTAGGTTTAAATAGACGGCAGCATAAATTGGGGGGGGGGGACGGGGAACTACTCATTTGGCTTGGGGGGGGGGATTGCGCCTCTGTGTTTGGGGGGATGGGCACCTCTGCTGTAAATATAGGGCGTTGTCATTAATATTTATAAAACTTTTAGTTTTTTTGGCTAATGCCCGCTTAACTTAATCTTTTCCAAGACCTCGGCCTTAACGTGCAGTATTTAAAAGTTAACTTGCATACGGAATAAAAAGTCTGACTAAACTGGCCCAAAACAATTACAGTAGGCCTACCATCACACCATTGCTTTTTCCCCACAGTCTTTAAGACCAAGGAACGTTGATGCTTGATTTCTTCTTGACAAAGTGTCAGAAGCAATAAATAGTTAGCCTAACTTAGACTTGGCCAGGTTCAGGTATATTTTTTTATTAACCCTAGCAGTGGCCAACGATTAATACGCTCATTTGCCAAGACGCCTAGAATGGCCACCAGCGTAATACGATAGTATGGGCCGAAATTTTTGTAATGGTAAAAGACCCGCTTATAATCAACTCTGATGTGAACAATATATACCATTCGAAAGATCACATTCTGCACTTTAATTTTTTAATAGCCTATAAACAAACCCTGTAGTAGGTATATAACAATGTCACGACGATTAGAAATCAAATGAATTTTTGGGGCGGCACGAATTTTGCAGCCGACACTTGGGAACTGACAAAAAAAGACTTGTTTGGCATTACCCTGCTCGGGTAGTTTTCGTCTTGGGATGTTGCGGGTGGTACCACTGGATAGCCATTGATTTTATCTTCATTGTGGTAGGTATTGATATTTAGAACAAAATATTGATTGGACAACAGGTACAATTTTATGAAAACAGCTGTTTTCGAAATTTATAACAAATGGCATACCATCGTTTAACTTGATATGCTTGTTATATAACTTTTTTACAACGCAAACTAACACTACGGTTTTAAATTTTTGCTAATTATATAACTTTTTTACAACACAAACTAACACTACGGTTTTAAATTTTTCCGGTTCTCCATTTGTTATTATATTACGCCCAAAAAACTTACCCTACACAAAGAAAAATTATTTTCCTAACATGTTATATATTTCTATGTAGGGAATTAGATTGCCTACTAATTGTACCTATATAATGAATTTCCCATAAAAAATCTGTAGTAAAAATTTTACACAAACTGCTTTTGAAATTTCAAAAAGAAAATTAAAATTTTTTTATTCTTTTCATTTTACAAAAAAAACAAAAAACTTTCTAAATCATTATTATATTACTATTTCTAGAATCTCCTGTTCTTACAAATAAAAGGAATATGAGGTTGGCTAAGTTTACTTCTACGGTTTAATTTTTACGAATTTTCAAAAAAAAGGTCTCCTAAATCGCCAAAAGGGGCTGGCCATCCCACACATCTAACATTTGCCACTGCTAGGGTTAACTTACGGTAACTTAGGCTTAAGTTATTCATAGAATTTGTAAGATAGGTCTATTCTATAGTTGATTATTAAAAAGATAAAGTATTAGAGATGTCTCCTTGTGCAGGGTGGCCGAAAAGTCCCTTTACACTGAATATAAGTTTTATAGGTATTAAGTAAAACCATTCGAATTTTCTTTAATCACAAATTTATTGACAATTACTTAATAGTGAACAAGAAAATTAGTCCAAAACGTCGGTGCGCATACCTCCGTGGTCTCGGCACAGCTTGATTCGACGCCATGTTCTTTTGCTTATTCGTCGCAGCATCTCAGGTGTGACTCGTCCAAACGACGCCCTTACTCCTTCTCTTAGCTCGTCATTTGTGGCATACCGCTGTTTCCTCACCTCTTCCTTGATAAAACCCCACAGTGCGTTGTCAGCTGTCGTCAGTTCGGGGCTCCTTGGAGGCCAGGGCATTGGGGAAGGACAGTTTGCAGACCCTCGTCCAATCCATCGGTCTGGCAGGAGTTCATTCAGTCGGCGGCGAACACTCAGCGCAAAGTGTGGCGGAGCACCATCCTGCTGCAAAATAACTGTGTCCCATATTCCCTGTGCTCTTAGTTGAGGAACCAACAATTCATTTATCATTCGAAGATAGCTGTCTTGGTTAACAGTGCCCTCGAAAAAATAGGGGCCAAGCAGGTGGTCGGAAGTTATCCCAGCCCAAAGCATCACTTGAGGCGGGTTATTTTCAACTTCCTCATTAAAGTGAGGATTTTCTTTCGACCAGAAATAAACATTCCGGTTGCGAGAACTGCGGTAAATCACACATTCGTCACTAAACATGACGTTTTTCCTGTCTCTGTGCCTCAGAAAGCGCTCGAAGCATAACCTGGCACGCTTGCACACGAAGGTCCATATCGTTGTCTGTTAACTCGTTGACTGACAGGGGCCGAAAGCACTTCATATCTAAATCCTTTCGCATGTGGTCTTGCATTGTTGTTCGTGGATTTCCCAGCTCTGAAGACCGTTTTCTGGTGGATTTCATTGGCGAACGTGCAACGGAAGCTTCCACAGCAGCGCAGGTTTCGACTCGAGTAGGCTAATCGGTCGTCCACTTCTTGGCGCGTCAAGAACGGATCCCGTTGCAAACACCTTCTTTTCCCACGCTATTAATGTTTGCCGGGACGGTGAAGGTTTCCCAAACCGCACTGCAAAGTCATTCATGATTTCCTCCATTGTTTTTCTGTTGTGAGGACGCTCATGCACCCACACAGAAACAACCAAACGCTCCTCGACACTAAACACACTGGTGTCCGCCATGTTGTCTGACTCAGATTTGGACTGAGACTGAGGGGGCGTCGGCGACCTTGGGCTGAGCCCGCGTGGCAAGGCGGGGGAGGGGTTTCACTTTCTCCCACCACTGCTCCCTTACCCCACACGTGTCAGTATTGGCCGTCGTTCCGTTTATAACAGTGTAAAACGTAATAACAAATTGTGTAAAGGGACTTTTCGGCCACACTGTAAAATTGTAATTTTGATATCCCATGTCATACTTAGGTAGCCTAGTTTTTTACCTTCTGAATCTATAGGAACACATTATTTTTTCATGGAAATGAACACATTTGAATTAAGACTAGGATCACATTGGACGCACGATGGCGCCAGTAATTTGGTAGCTCACACAAATATTCCAAGGATTCTTAATAGGGGCACAGAAAGAGTTTCACTGGCCTAATTAAGTTATGGGTGAACACAATACAGGCACAATGACAAACGGCTGTTGTAAGCAGTGTCATACGTACAGTTGCTAATATTTGACTTACCAATGTCAAATAATAATAATAAACATTTTCAACCCCCTGTTAAATACAACCAAAGAATTACAGATCCGAATACTTTTTGGTCTCTTTGGTGTGATGTACAGAGTAGGCCCATCCCAAGGACAATGTTATCATATCGTTAAGACATAAATTTTAAAATATCCGTCGCTACAACCCATACAAGTTTAACTGCCGTATACATTTTCTATTAACAATGCTTATACACTTTAAAAAATTGACCACTAAAAATTACATCATTTGAAGTTGAACTTGACATTTTTCCCTCCAGTCTCTAAAGCTCCTGCGGCAGCTGAGTGACCCGTCAGCTCTCTCGTTAGTCTTTTAATAGTATTTACAATAAAAATTCAAAGTGTAAACGTTAAATATTCGTTGGCATTGTTTATAACGCATAAAATCTTAACTGAATTTTGTTTAGTCAGTTACGGGCATTTTGTAATTAGCATTACCAAAAATTATTGGCTACCATCTAATGTTCAGCAAGAATAAAAAACTTCAAAACTGGATATTTTTAAACATCCTATTCCAACGATATTGGCAATTTTTATGTGAATTTACACCGAGACCCCTCCCCTTCTTGCCACATCATTGGGTCTGTAGTGACCTGGCATTAATCAAAGAACATCATGATCAGTGACTGATTTGTTCAAGACCAATCACAACTTGGTATTAGGACTGAAGAAAATAAAATCCAAGTTATTGAATTGTTCCAAAACAGTACTCTTTTTCAGCACAAACTATTTCAGTCAATTGCCTGTTTATTGCATACATTTCAAAAGTACTTTTGTGTGTTACAGAATTGGAATGGCCAAGGAACGTAATGCACAGACTTTTGTATCTTGCAGCATCAATGGAACAATTGCCAAAGAAGGGTAAGTAGCCTTTATTTGAAAATTATAATCTGAATTTATTGGTTTCTCATAGCCTACATCACTGTGTGAAGTGGGAATATTATTCAGTCATTCAATCAATGAATCTAAATGAAAATTCAAACATCAGCGAAATTTTTATACTATTCTTACTTAATAAAATTATCTTTATCCGTTGTATATGAGGTATACAGCTTACATAAATAGTGTCAAAGGATTAACAACATATTGGGATACAATACTCATTTCACTGTTTGATGGAACCTGTCTCCTGACCGGAGGTCTACCTGGTGACTGGCCAAAGGGTTGAAGTCCCGTCCTAGTTACAGGTAGATGATAATTCAAGTAAGTAATTAGTTTTGGACAAATAATTATCAGGTAAGAATCTGTTAGCTGTCTCCTAACCGTTTTAAGTGCAAGTTGGGTTTGGTCGAGTGAGGATAGTTATTTTTTATATTTATTTTAAAATAAAAATATAATATTGCAGTATTATAAATTGTGAAGTAACTATTCAATGTAGCTTAATCTAATTAATAACTTGCCTTCAGATCAGAAAATGTCCAAATAATATATTGAATCCTGTGGCGAGAAGTAATAGAAACAGTTACTTGGTAAAATGAGCGTGACCTCTCCCAACTGTTAGGTAAAACGTAACAGGTGGTGTTACTCGGCATTTCTGCACCCAATCAGTAGTTGTTTATTTCACAATCAGATATAAAAATGAAATCATCTTTGGTAACAGAGGTAGTGAGGTAACAAAAGTTTTCATGATATATTTATACAACTTGTCACTCAGGGAAGAGTCCAGGCAAGATGGGGTGTTCCCTTGCCATGGCTGGTCCCAGGGACTTTCCAAGAAAGGATCGATTCGTAGCAGTAGTGATATCATCAAGCGCTCTCGTATTCAAAATGTGTAAGTACATACATATCCTCTCCCGATCCGGTTATATCTGGGTGTTCACTAGGCCTCTACATCTTCTTTTGTCCCTCCACAATCCATCTTCCTCCACATATTGCCACTGCAATCCTCTTGTTTCCTCTTGCTTTCACATCTTGTTTCACATCGTCCATCCACCTTCTTCTAGGTCTCCTCTTGGTCTTCTTCCATTATTGTGAAGCTCCTTAATTCTTCTTAGGGATTATATCATTTTCCATTCTTCTTAAGTGGCCGACCATATCAATCTTGATTTCTCTATTAGTTCTTTCAAACTTTGTTCAACTATTTGTCCTCTCAAATAAGATTTATACATAGTAACTTTTGCAGTCTTTGGTATATCTTTATCCTAGACTAGATGTCTAACACTTTGATAAAACCCTGCACCTTTCCCAGTCTAGTCAAATCACCTCTTGTGCCATTATCCCATATAGTTTGATAACACCATGCCTTGATATATAAACTAACTTAAGCGGTTCCCCCTATACTTTTAAAGGTTGTTCCAATTTTCTATCTCTTCCAATCACCATTACTTTGCTCTTTTCCTTACTTATTTGTATAGTAACCAACTGGTATACTCTGCAATTGTCCTGACACAGCATTTGTGAATCCTATACAATTCCTTAAACCACTCATTGTACCTTTCTTTCGGTCCTATACCTTTTTTATGCTATTTTTTATAGAGAAATTCTTTATGCACCGTCTAAAGATTTCTTTTACTCTGGCGTGTGGGACTCTCACCCTCTAAAAACCTATCGGTCCAGGCAATGGAAACCCTCTCGGAAATGCTATTTGCAATACTTCAAGAGGGTGCATTTGTACGCCAGAGATGGCACTCCAACCACGATGATCCACCGGGTTCAGCTGCTCTGGTGTATCACAGCTGTTTAGTTCTCTTCACTTTGGCACTCCCCTGGAGAAAGTAGAAACAAGGTTCCTCGATACGAGACTCAACAACATCAGATGGACAAGTGTGTTTGGCGAAACTGGTCCGACAACCGTTTCAAGGTTCCTTCTGACTTCCCTCCAAACACAGTAGAAAAAGAATTGCTGTACATCATCGTTGTCGGGGTCTGCGACACACCTTTTCCTGCACTGGGAAAATATGTATATGAGGTCGCAAACGTTTGCCAGAGATAGATCAGCCTACAATGGCTGGGTAAAATTCCATAGTTTTTGATAAGGGCTGTCTCATACTTACCATACCTTTGTAAACAAGTCACCAAACAATTGTGCAATAATCGCCACCAGACCTTCGCCGATTCTCCACTCTCCTATTGGGTCGTTGCTGACTTCGTAACTCAGGCTATGACGGATTTTGGGTCGTTACAAGGCTTCATTGTAACTATCCAATAATTAAGCCCAAAGTGCTTAAAACAAAGTGAGTGACAGGATAGCTTGCCAATAATAACCTCAACGCACCTTATCAACAGGTGGGGTCTACTTGGCCACTAAAATCCAATAGACAGCTGTAATATACCCCAATCAAACAGCTGTACCACTTGGTCACCGATGCGATGATCCTTCAGCACAGAACGCCAACTCACCTCGAACCTTCCCTGTCCACCACTCGAATGTGCTACTGTCGATGTATTTATTATCCTACCGCAACTATTGTTCTTTCATTCCACCAATCTGTAGTCTTGTCTTTCCTCCTCTCTCTTGTTCTCTCTCACACTTCTTCAGCTGACCCTACTAATACTATCTTATTGTCCCATTCCGCTTCAACGTCAGCTATAGCTTCTGTATTACGAGCATTTAAACATTTTTTCCCCCTTTCTGTTGTAGCTTCCAACTTTTTATCCTAGTCATTTCCCCTTTTAGTTATCACCTTAACATCGATCAATTTTTCTCCCCATATCTTATCCACAACTATGTAGTCAATGACACTTTTCTGATTTCCATCCCAATTAAATATCGTGACTACATGACCCACCCTTTTCCGGAATCTCCTATTTCCAATTGCCATACAATTTCTTCCACACAAGTCCAACCTATCCCCAAAAGCCTTCCCTATTTCGTGGTCCATATCCGAAAACACCCAACACATCTTTATATCCTCTCCTATACCCACTCTTACATTCAGATCTCCCATCCAGATGTTTACACACTCTAAATGTTCTACCAAATTCACTTCAAAATGTGTAAACTGTAAACTAGTTTCATACAAACAAGGAATCAAATTGCCACATAACTTTTACATTTGTCTCAAATGAGTGTGTAAGAATTTCAATTAATTCACTGACTTAACTATGAAACGCTTGTAAAACTGATTGGCACAATGCAAAAAAAAAAAAAAAAATTTGTTAAGTGTACAAGATGTGTTGTTACAATAACAGAACATTTTGGTTTGTTGATAAAATAATAATTTTGTTGGGTATAATAATGTTGCTGCCTTTAAAATAGTGCTCATTGGATGTTGTGCCTGTGTTCCTTCAATTGGTAAGTCGGTGACTCAGTTGGTAAGCCCAAGGCAGTAGGCTACAGTTCAATTTTGTTCTGTATCAGTTCATCCTATACAGTAGCGCATTTCACTTGCCACCTGTGTGGGATTTTTTGTTCACCCATGTGAAAGGAAAAATTCTAGGTTATATAAGACAGTAACAGTTTCTAATACAAGAATATTTTTAATCCTCACAACACACTTATTGAATTCGATGTTTGGGATGTGTTCAGCTCTTTCATGTATGAATGAGAAAATCTTTTAAATACTTTACAAAACAAACATTATTTTAAAATACTTGTATTCCTTAACTCCTTACAAATTTGTTATGGGAGGTCTTTTCATGACTCCTAGAACAAGATAATGGTTTGCCTCCTGAAAAAGTGGGATGTGAGATATGAGGTTACAAAATTTTCACAACAAAATCAAACCGAGTCGAGCTCAGTAGTTTGCATAACTCGTTCACAAAGCTTAAACTCATAGATTTACTGATTTGTACCTGTTATCCATCCAAGCTTTTGATCTCCAAACTCAACTGTAATATATTTTAATGATTTTTATAACATTATTAATTTTACCACAAGAATATCATACTTACAAATTTTTCTAATCATCCTGTAAAATGATCTGTGGGGGCTTATCTGAGAACCAGGTATAAATGGGATAAATGATAAACAAGAGAATTACTTACCCGTTAGCTATTAGGGTGTTGTATGATTTTTCTTTATTTGCAGGTACGAGCTATCACAGGATCTGTTAGATAAGCAGATTGAAATGCTGGAGAGAAAGTACGGCGGGGTAAAAGCCAGACATGCAGCTCTGACAATCCAGCGCGCCTTCCGCCGCTTCACCTTGCTCAAAAAGTTTGCTGCAATCACGGCGATGGCCAAGGCGGAAAAGAGACTCAGTCGACGGCTGGTGGGTTTTGCCGAAGAGTCTAATGAAAATCATTCACATCGCTTACAATTGGACGGTTACCTTCCCCCTGGCCCCCCGTCAATGCCGCTGAGGTCAATGTCCATGAGGGAAAGACGCAATGTACCCAATGTGCCCTCGCCTACCACACTAATGCCTCGATCACACTCTGGTCACTACTGCTGTGATGTCCCTCACCCCTTATATTATGCCCCACAGAACATCTATATGGAAATGACAAAGGTGATACTCACAAAAACATCCATTTCACCACTGTAGTATTTTAATTCACCTTTTATTTCATGATTAAACCTGCATGTTTACTAACAGTAAGCAAACATATTTTTATTTCTCAAAGCTTGTCAGAATTTATAGCTGGGCCATTATGAAACACAAAATCCTATAAAACTCTGTTGCTGAATGTAACTTAACTAAGTATAAAAATCACTTATTATAAAAATAAAAGCTACTTTCATTAGTTATGAAAATTTATATTTAATAACAAATTATTAATTTGTGTTTTGTTTTTTTTTTTTACTTGACTTGGACAATTTCTAACTGTCTTGTACACTTTTTTATATAAATCACCTTTTTCGTGTTTGGTGTGAATCAGCATCGTCTTAAATATTCAAAAACAAAGGAGTATTCACTTTTCATTTTTTTTCAATTTATTGTTTATTGTCTTGTGTAGTAAACTAATTGTTTGGCAAACTAAGCTAGAAATTAGCTCAAGGATGGGATCCTTAAAAAGAATAGCAACTTTCCAGAAAATACTTTACTACTCCCTATGCATGTTTAGCACACAACCTTGATGCATGTTGTAGTTTTTGTTTTCTCCTTTTGTACAAAATCTGTTCTCAAATTAAGTGTTTTAATACTCATAGTACCCCAAGTGTATTATGGATTGTACATAGTGTTGTCTACCAATTTAATATTATATATCAGTGCCTTACCAAGCTGAAAATATTTGCATTGACATTCTATTTGATATTTTTTCATTTGCAAAGTATTGTCAAAACATATATTTACAAGTATTTGACTTCCTGAAATGGTACCGTAACCCCTAACCTCAAAATCTATGTGACCTGCATGCTATTTTAGATTCTCAGTTCCAACAACCTCGGTTAATCGGAAGTGTACTGTTCTTAGATTATTTGTCAACATCGTTTCTTTGGTGTCTCGGTCCATCATACTACCAACTCACCAGATGTTTTTTTTACAGATTTGAAGTTTCTGTGTAACTAGAATGTTCTTGACTTTGATCGTTGAAACTGATTAGGTCTATGTCAGCTTATTGATTTGTAACCAGCAAGCTGTAATGCTATTGAATGTATTTATGATTTTTTTTCCATTACAGCCTCAAAAGTTGTGTTGTGACTTTGAACATTTTTGCATGTTAATATCAAGAAAAGTAATAATTGATGATTTTATAGCTAGGTACACATAATACAAAAATGCAAAACTCATTTTTTACTTTGTTAATCTATAAAATATTAACAACATAAATGATTCCTAAAACTGTCCACTATTTTACAGTCAAAATAAATATCCGTCACATATTGATATTATCAGTCTGTTGCAATATTAGGCAAATTATTTCAATTATCCACGAAATTTTAACTTTTGACTTTGTAATTTCTTTTTTGAAATATTCCTGAACAAAGTTTATTCTTGTAGCCTAGTTTGTGTAAGTGAATTAATTTTATTAACATTTTGCTTAAAATATTGCTTATTCTTAGTTGACTGTAATCTTTGAATATGTAAATATTTTGTGTAAAACATTCACTGTCTTTTGATTCTTGATCAGAACTTTTGTTGTTGAAGCATTCTCGTGTCTATAAATTGTTAAAAATCGCTTTATCAGTGTTAGTTTGTTTTTTAATTTGTTACTCTGAACTGACAACTTGTAGAATTAATAGTTTATGTGTATATTTGTCATTGTATCGGTCATGAATTAGATCGGTATTGTCAACAATCGCTTTATCAGTGTTAGCTTGTTTTTTTAATTTGTTACTTTGAACTGACAACTAGTAAAATTAATAGTTTATGTGTATATTTGTCATTGTATAGCTAGTCATGTCTTCTAATTTCATTCATCACCATAAAAAATTGGATGTTTTGGTGAATCAATCAAAATCTTTGCTGACACTAATTATTGACGGTTTAATTTTTGGGGTTTGTGCGTCTAGTGAAATATATAGGTTTGCTAATGCCTTCGATCCTTCCAAATATAAAAATGCAACATAAAGCCAAGAATAAGATTAAGTCAAACTTTATTGATAGGCTGTGATCGTGGGTTACCCAGTTTACATAATGAGTTGGCCATAGTCGTAGACAAACTAACGAGGATTTAGGTGTTGGTATGGTGGATGCTTTCTTAAAGCAGCATTCACACAAAGTCAGTTGGCGGGCAGGTTACCTGCCTCAGGTAAATTGAAATACACTAGAGGCAACAGTAGTTATGTAAAGGTCTGTTCGAGCGCAGGATGAGGATGAGAGCCCTGAAATAGGGTACACCCTAGAACAGGGTACACCCTAGAACAGGGTACACCCTAGAACAGGGTACACCCTAGAACAGGGTACAGCCCTGAAATAGGGTACAGCCCTAGAATAGGGTACAGCCCTAGAACGGGGTACAGTCCTAGAACGGGGTACAGTCCTAGAATGGGGTACGGTCCTCAAAGTCCGGACACTCAGAGAGCAGTCTTCTGCAGTTCTTTTTCATAGAATCCGCCTATAATTTCCTCGCCATTTTGATCGGCGATCCTATAAGTAACCGGTCTAGTGTTTAGAATTCGTGCTATTGTAAATATCTCCGAAGTCCAGTTTTGTTTATATTTATTGAATGTTGATCTTGAATAACCGTTACTCACTATGACGCAACATAGAATAATCTAGATTGGAGTCGGACATGTGACCATAGAACAATCTAGATTAGAGCAAGAAACCTATATAGAGTATGCTGTATGCTTGAACTGCTAGTTGTGTTATAAAAGTGTTAGTGAAGCGTGTTAAGTGAGTGTGTATAGTCTAGAGTTATAACTACTCTGACTCACAATATATTTTTATTTTGTGGGGTCAAAGTTGAATCAATAGTGGAGATAATTAAAACATGTTCTTAATTAGTCTTTTGCTATCTCGTTGAATAATTTATTTGGTTGTGAGAATATTGTTCTCTATATAGAGGTGATGGCCAACACTACGGTGTGTTTATATTGTAAGAAATCTATTTCTAAGCCTAATATATCAAGACATGAGAAAATATGTCCGCAGAATCCTAATCGGAATCCTAAAGTGCCATGTGATTATTGTAGAATATTGTTCAGTGAAAACTATCTTTCTAGTCATGTTGAAAATTGTAAACAAAATCCAACCATACACCAGCCTATAACAAATCGGTTGGCTTCTTCTAATGAAGATGAACCCCAACCCAGCACTAGTGGGATTAGTAGCTTAAAACGTAAACCTCCGCCTGATTCGACTCCTAAAGGGCAGCCCCCAAAAAAGGTTATACGTTCGGTAAATGGGTTTAGACCTTCCGGTACTCAATTTATACCGCCTTCAATATTCAACAAAATATATAATACTGCGGCCTCTATTTATTCCGGCATGAAGAAGGTTGTAACAAATACCAACTATCCTCCGACTACTGATGCTGAAATTACTCTTAGCAAACGCGCATTTAAGAGGAGATTGAATGTTTATCAAATAGAAAACAATCATAATATAAAAGATCCCAAAACATATTTAAATAGACTTAAAAGTTTAGTTGTTGAGAAAATTCAACACCACTTAAAAACATCTGAAGTTAAAGTTAGATTTGTATTGCTGATTGATTATGTGAGGGATCCAGAAATTGCAGAGTTTAATTACAAAACAAAATATGAACCTATTTTATTAGCAAGTGATTTATCAGAATATTTTGAGACTGCTATGGGGGATCTCTTAGCGGAAATGGAGGATTTTTCAAAAAAAGGTTCTGGTTGGTCACTTAGCAAAATTATTAGATTAGAGCTGTACATAAATAAATACAAACCAATCAGGGGTTCGAGTTATATCGAATTACCTGACGGAATAAGAAAAAAAGAGGCTGTAATAAATGTGAGAAACAACGACCAGAAGTGTTTCTTGTGGTCTGTTTTATCAGCCCTTTATCCTGCTGCAAAGGATCCTCAAAGAGTTACAAAATATAAACAACATGAACACGAATTCGATGAAGCTTTGAAAGATATTGATTTTCCAGTAGCATTGACTGATGTGGTAAAATTTGAAAAACGATCGGGGGTTTCTGTAAATGTGTATGGTTGTGAAAAACAAGAAAATATCAATGATGTGGAATACTTTGAAGATTATCCCGGATGCAACAAGAAAAATGATAAAGAAACTGAGGAAAAGAAATCAAAATACATTACATATCCATTATACATAACTAAAGATGAGAAAGACAGACATGTAAATTTGTTGTACTTAAAAAACGCAGGAGGTAATACTCACTATTGTTGTATAAAAAATTTAAGTCGATTAGTGAGGTCTCAAATCAGCAAAAGAACAAAAACAAAATGGATATGTAATCGCTGCCTCATGCATTTTGGAGAGGAGCGTCTACTACAAACACACAAGGAAAATTGCAACAATCATAATCCTATACGTGTAAAAATGCCAAAAATGATTACTACGGAGAGTGGGGATTTTCCTCCACGGGTTTATTTCCGCAATCATTATAAAAAGATGAGAGTCCCCTTTGTATGCTATGCTGATTTTGAAAGTATTTTAGCACCCATAGCGTCATGCGATCCCGAGTTGTCGGATGATAAGTCGTATACCAAAAAATATCAATCTCACGAAGCCATCAGTTTCTCATTGTATGTTGTATATAGTGAGGGTGATTATAAGGACCCAATTGATTATTTTGGTCCAGATGCTGCAAAGATGTTTGTTGAAAGCATTGAGAATGTATCTAAAGAAGTAGCCACATTATACAGTAGAGACGCTGCCAAACCCATGCGTTTAACAGATGATGATCGTCTAGCTATAGCTGGTGCTAGTAGCTGTCATATTTGTTGTAGGCGCTTTAACAAAAAAGATGAGAGAGCTCTCGACCACGACCATCTCTCCGGGAGGTTTCGAGGTGTGGCACATAAGGTTTGCAATCTGAATTTCCGCAAACCCAACTTCATACCAATCTTTGTTCACAACTTGAGTAATTACGACACCCACCTGTTTATAAAGATGTTCGGCATAAA